AAATTATTTATATAACATATGTAATAAATTATATATCATTATAAATAACTATAATAAACAGTACTTAAACGTGAGAATTCGTTCCACAGTTTCTATGAAACGAAAAAGTTCTGTAACACAATTTTAATTTTTAGTAGCTATATTATTCTATGAAATATTAAAAAATAAATTTCTTTGTTTTCTCATCAGCTACCATCTGATGCATTTGAAGAAGAATCCTCAAGTTCAGGTGCGCCAGGACCACTATTTAAGATATGTAAGAGATCTGTTATATGGGTTATAGTAAAATCTGGTTGTGGATCTTCTTTTAACAATCGTGGTTTATCGGAAATTGGAATCCAAACTGTTCTTCCGAATCCTGCTTCTATCCCACCTATATGATATTAACTACATTAAATTATTTTAACTATATTAAATTTGTTAGAACATTAATCAGTGTTTTAAAATTTTTAATTTACTTGGTATGCACTGTCAAATTAAAATAAAATACCTAGAATATCAGTTTCCAATTTGTCACCGACCATTACGCACTTTTCTGGTTTAACATTTAAAATTCTATATGCTTTTTTAAATATTTCTCTTTCTGGTTTTTCATATGGTAAATCTCCAGATACCAAAATAACATGGAAATATTGTTCCAAAGATAGTTTATGTATCTTTTCCCATTGTGCATTAGAAGGACCATTAGTTATTAGCCCAAGGAGGTACTTTACCCTCAACTGTCTTAGCATGGAAATTGTATCTGATGAAAGTGCTAGATAATAATATCGTAGACACAACCATCGTTCATAAACTCTGGTTGCTAAGTACGAGTATTTTTCACCAAGTGCTTTACTCCATAAACTTGTACGCCAAGTATCCAATGTATACATTACATTGTCAGGGCACTTTCTAAAGAGTTTCAAATATAATGTTGTAATCTTGACAGATACATCTTCAGGTATCCCATACTCTTCTGTTAGTTCCTCAGCCAACTGTAGATAAATTTAGAATACTTCCTGTTAGCAATTTGTTTACATCAGAAGATATTTCAAGCGATATTACAAGAAAATGATGAACAAAATACAAAGTACATACTAAAGGAGAATAAAATTGATTTCCACATTCAATATAGTATGTAATAATGGGCCCAAAACTTTGAGAAAATTAATTGATATTAACAAAATTCGTAGAAAAGAAAAGGATAATTGGTATGTACTATCTGAATATAATAAAAACAAAAATTATTGAATGTGGAATTTAATGACTTAACCAAGGTTTCGGGAGTGAAGGATACAAACGATCAGTTAGGAGTTTAGGTCACTTAATTCATTTTTGGATGATTACCTAGAAAATGCATTGATTCATTGAAATACTCGAGCCGATTAGTGGACACTCGAAGTGGCACCCGCGGTCGTTGCTGTAATCACAACAAAATCAGTTGTGCCAACAACAAACTTATAGTACTCCAGCCCTAAAAGCCTTAGTTAAAGGTTTTAGGATGTTAATGTTTATACTTATTGCTGCAGCTCCTATGCCATAAAATTGATGTAACATTAAACATAATTTTGGCACGCTTCAATTATTTTATTTACTACACTTATTTAATTTGTTACTGTTGGGGGGATAATAATTTAAAAGAGAAATTAGTTTAAAAAACAAGTCAATTTAATGAGAAGATCACTTGTTGCTTTACAAAACCACTGATTATACATAAACATTTTTCCTTTGTATATACATTTTGAAACTACATCAATTGTAAATACATATCTAGCTTGTAAAAAATTTTAGTAGCCTATCATTTTATACTTTCATATGAAACGTAAAAATATATAGAAGTGAAACATATTCCAATATTTAAGCGCTATAACTATTTAATTTGTATACATATTCATTAACTCCATTGCTTGCCAGAAAACTATTTCTAGATATGATTGCCACCTAAATTTACATTTGAATTCTGACTGCTTACAATTTTAAGAAATTGTGGGCAGAAGGTATTATTAGAATAATGTATATAATTTTGCAAAACAAAATTATTAAGAAATAAACCTATAAATAAACCTGCATTCTAGAAAATATTTGGTAGTATATAAAGCATATAATTAAAATTGATATTTTTAATTGAAACACAAATTGTACTTCTGTCTTCACACTATTTTAATCTCCAAAAAGATGTTTTCCAAGTTCCATCATACGATGATTTCTGCAAACAGTTAAAGCTCCACATTTCTTCAGAACAGAAGCAACATTTTGATCTGCTTTAACTAAATGACATAAAAGATCTTCAAAAGCAGATTTCACATTTGGTTGAAGGCTTCCTGATTTTACTTTCTTAAGAGTTTCAATAATTTCTTCAGCCCAGCCTGACTCAAGAGCAAACTGTGATAGCCATGGAACTACTTGTAAAACTCCAGCCATTGTTTGCATTCCAAGAAACCATAGTTCCATGATTTCCATCCATCTTTCTTTGTATAGAATAGAAACAACGAGTTCAGTTGGATCGTTACTTTCATCAATTATGTATGCATCCCAGAGGAACCTTATTGTAGCTTGAATATACCGACATATAGAGAAATCATTCTTTTTAATACGTTTTGCCTGTTGTTTCAACAACAACAATCCCAAAACTGCTAAATGTCCATGCAGAACTAAATTTTCTGGAATTTGTTTCAGTTCTGGAAGATTATTGAACATAAATTTCAATAAAGAAACAAATGTTGCTGACTCTTCCACTAGCTTTGGTTCTAATACAGTAATGTTCATCAAAACATTGCATGCAGAAACCATAGCTGTTCTTGAATCTTTCATTGCTTCTGATGCGTAAAGTTCTAAATCTTCTCCCTTTTCTGCTTCTTTTAATGCCTTCAATCTTTCTGATCTTGGAACCGGTGGTTTTTTATAATGAACAATTGTCCAATGATAGGATAAACACTCGAATAAAACTTCTTCCTGTTTATGTCGAAGTAAAATTTTTCTAGCATCTTCTTCAACAGCTAAGTAACACAAAGCTGGTAATAACAATCTTAAAACATCAATTTCGCTTAAAGGATCATGTATGACTGGTTCTTCTGATGATGTTCCTTCATCACTTTTTGCTTTAGCATTTGTTTTAGCTTTCTCTGCTAATTTTCTATTGCGATAAGCATAAAACGTATCATTAGCTACTGTCAAAACATAAGGCAAAACTGCATAAATCTGTGGACGCATAGCTTTAGTTTCCTGGGCTAGCCAGGCTGCCAATACCCTTACCACAGCACAAATAAATACTCGTTCTTTAATATCTGTCAACTCTTTCATTTTAGAGACTGCTGTGAGTAAACCTATAATTGCAGCAAATGCTCCTTTCAATGCTGTATACAGAGACTGTTTTTCTTTCTCTTCTAGGTCTAACTGGTCAGTAGTAATGTAAGTAAGAGAAATTTCAAGAATAACAAAGCAAGATGTAATTAAATCAACATTTGCCATGACAGATTTAATTTGTTTTCCTTCTAATTGCATTCTAACTTCGATAGATGCCAATTGAATTAAGAGTAAAAAGAATACTTTTGGTTTTTCTTTATCTAACAATGTCCACTCAGCTCCCAATAAATCCATCATCACAGAAGCAAGTTTCAATGCTGGATCACGTTGATTTTTACCAATTTTTGACCCAAGAATATCTGACAAGCCCTTATGAATGCTAAATGGCCAAGATTCATCTTTAGCAGTTTCATTAACAACATCTCTTCTACAAGACATCAATAAAGCTTGTAAAATTGTGCATAATTCAAATTTTCTTTCAGTATGATCTGTTTCGAAGTCTAAAGCAATTTTATTTATAATAGCATGGAAAGGTGCATTATCATTTGCATCCCAAGCTTCTGGGCCGAATCTTCCAACTAACATAACTAAAATATTTAATGCCTGATCTGTTTGAAAGCTCTTTTCTGAGTAAATATCACACATTTTTGATATTGCTTTCTGTTCAAGCAAAGTTTTCTGTCCTGGAGGATATTGTGCAATACTTTGCAAACATGCATATGCCTCACTGACAATAATTAACATGTCATCAGCTGCATCTTCATCAACTTGGGAAACAATTTCAAGCAATGCAGGTACGTGAGCAATCATATCTGGATGAGAAGCTAATTCTGGTTCTCCACAAAATGCAGAAAGTATAGATAATGCTACAGATTTATACACTTGCGGAGGACAATCTACAGGAACTGTTTGAGTAGATAATAATTTTTTTATAAACTTGGACCCAATAGCTTCAAATAATATCTTTTTAATTGCAGGTGTACAATCCTTGCTGTCCACCAATTTTGTGACCATAAAAAGAGCAGCAAATTTTTCTGAATCATTTTCAACAGTTTTTAAAATAGCTACGCACTTCTTCACACTTTCTGGGATACTCATTTTTGTGGTTTATTTATCAGAATTACTGTAATCAGATACTTCTGTTATCGGTTCGTCGAATGTATTGATAACTTGGTTTTCTTTTATAACAACGATACTTTTGACAAGGCTCACAGGTTCTCGATTAGACAAATAATTATTTCTGAAGAGTTCAACAAGGTTTCACCAAGGATTGCATCTTTCACATGGCACAGCCAAAAGCCAACTGGCAGTACTCCCAGAACGAACCCCTTGAAACTAGCCTTGCCCTTTGACACACTCACTTAGCAGGATAAAAATAAAGTTGTACCACCACAAACGTTATTCCACAAACATGAGTACATTACCACCCAATGGATTATTGCCAGTATAAGGTTAATGACGTTTTATAATACCTCACATATATTACAAAAGTATAATAGATAAACCACCAGTGAATTATACTGCTTCTTCTTAAACTTAAAGGGAAACGAGTCTAAAAATTCTTTATGTCGATTTGTTTGCAAAATTTCATCAGAAAATTACTTCACACTCGTACGTTTTTTCTAATACGTTTCAAGCATAACCTTTTTCTAAAGTAGCGCACTGTACGCGAGTTTTTCAAGAGTAGATGCACACAGTACGCTCGAGCTGGTATCTCAAGATCGTGAAAACTTTCAGTAACGTGCTCGCAAGCTTTTTCTACGTTATGTCGAGCGTCTGGACAGTACCAGTAGGATCGGTCGAAAATAACCGTCCGAGAGAAAGCTCTATATCAGGGAGTCGGCTCGTGTTACACAGAGGCTTCTATTTTCGTGCGATCTTCATATCCGAACGGAAGTGAAAGAGGGTAGATATGAACATAATCATCAGAAAACTTCTTGAAAATATACAAAAAATAATAACAAAAATATAGACGAAGCAAATGAATGACTGACACAAATGTGACCTTTCATATATTTCTAATACTGGATCAAAGATTCATTTCGCGCACTCTGTGGAAAGAAACGCATACGCCTACATATTTCTGGTGTCCTGAGTGATACTGATCGTTTTTATGCACGACATTACTTAAAATATATTAGCGTACCTTTCGACACGTTTGACTGTCGCCCTTCCTAGTCTCGATGAGTGTATTGTCCAAATCGAAAAACACAGCGCTTATAGTTACATTCGATGAACAAAGGTGCTTCTTATGGAAAGTCGCCATTGTTATTGCAAAGGTGAATATGCTGTTGTTAATCCAACGATGCTTCAACGAGGAATCGCGCATAAAAACATATGATGATGTTCATAGAACAGCTCCCCTTCCGAGAACACTTTGGGGAGGGATATGCAATTATTTCGATAGTAAGACGTCGCAACGGACTGCATCCGTCTTGTCTCGACCTAATACCCTTCGTTCCTGACCTTTTTCTCTTCCTTGATTTCCGTCTCCGATCATCGAACGAAGAGACATCTTTGATAGAAATGTACATCGTTGATCGTCGATAAACACGCGATCTAATTTTTAGTTTTAACCACGTGAACAATCTACTATTACCAATAGAGTTCAATAGAAATTTAAATATAACATTTTTTTTTTTACTGATTGGACAACTTTTTTTTTAATATAAAAGACACCTAAACATACTTATTAATCGTAATATATTAATGCTTCGTTGTATTAAGATTAACGGATTTAAAAGAGATTTTTTCAAGTAAATTATCATCGTTGATAGTTTACATAGCAAATTCGTGCTAGCCAACCCACTTTTCGTAGAAATGTAACAAAAGTGCACACAAAGTACGCGCATCTACATTTTTTTAAACTTTAAATTCAAAATTTTTATAGCTACATATTCGGGCAAGTCTCTTCTATTTTCTACGACAAATTTTTTACAAAAACCCAGTTTTTTCGAAAACTGATCCAGCAATTTGGTTTACGGATCCGTATCTAGGGTAAGGAACTCTATGAGGACCATCTAGTGGCTATTACAAAACAAAAATCGTGTTCCACAGTGTAATACATATATTTTTAAATGGCGCTGCAATCAGTGATATGATATTTTGGCGCAAAGTTAACACTTGCTTTGAATCTACAATTTTTATTTTATTGAGCAAAACATCGTTCGTTTATAATAACAAATATTTTATCAGAAAATGACAGCAACAGCTACTACAGCCACACTTCACGAAGGTGAAGAAGAATTAGAGGACTATAATGCACAGGCGAAATTAATAAAAGCTATCGAGGTAAGTAAAGTTTGTAACCTTTTTTCGCGTTCTTTTAATTACGTTTCTTAAGATGTTTTTACAAAGTTATGTACATTACTTGAAATTTATGATTTCGTACATCACATATTAAATATATCTTTTTTTCTTTTTTTCAGAGAAATGGCATAACAGCAGGGGATATTAAAAAACTGGAGGAAGCAGGTTTCTATACTGTAGAAGCTGTAGCATATGCTCCTAAAAAGCAACTAATTGCCATAAAGGGTATTAGTGAAGCCAAAGCAGATAAGATATTGCAAGAAGCCTCAAAATTGGTTGTGATGGGGTTTAAAAGTGCCACCGAAATCCATCAAACTCGATCAAATATTGTATTTGTAACAACAGGTTCCAGTGAATTAGATAGGTTGTTGGGCGGTGGTATAGAGACTGGTTCCATTACAGAAATTTTTGGAGAATTTAGGTCAGGGAAAACTCAATTATGTCATACACTTGCAGTTAATTGTCAATTACCTATAGATATGGGTGGTGCAGAAGGAAAATGTCTTTATATTGATACAGAAGGAACTTTCAGACCTGAAAGATTAATTGCTGTTGCAGAAAGATATAAAATCGCAGGCGATTCTGTTTTAGATAATGTAGCATGTGCCAGAGCTTATAATACAGATCATCAGACACAGTTATTAATTCAAGCTAGTGCTATGATGATAGAATCTAGATATGCATTATTAATAGTAGACAGTGCAACTGGTCTTTATCGAACAGATTATTCTGGAAGAGGAGAATTAAGTGCTAGACAACTCCATTTAGCAAGGTTTCTTAGAATGTTATTACGTATAGCTGATGAACATGGTGTTGCTGTTGTTATAACCAATCAAGTTATGGCCCAAGTTGACGGTGCAGCAAGTATGTTTGGTGGAGATCAAAAAAAACCAATTGGTGGTCACATTTTAGCACATGCAAGCACTACCAGGCTATATTTACGTAAAGGAAGGGGAGAAACAAGAATATGTAAAATATATGGTTCACCTTGTTTGCCTGAAAGTGAAGCAATGTTTGCCATCAATGCAGATGGAATTGGAGATGTTAAGGAATAATACTACATTTGTTTTTTGTAAATATATTTTTTTACATGGTATTCAGAGGAGATGTGATATTTTGATTACTAAATAACATTGAATAAGGAATAAAGTTAACTTAGTTAAATAGTTACCATATACCATATAAGGAAAAGTTAAGTAAAAGAGACAATTATAAATAATAGTAATATTAATGATAATAGGAATAATAATAGTTTAGTTTATTTGTAAAATGTTTTATAATAAATAAAAATTTTTACAGAATATATGCAATACTGGGAATAAAAAATTTTTAAATTATCTTTGCTTCTTAAATTTCTTATATACGTATGTATTTGTATTTTTCGTTATTAAGTAAACATTATTTATAAAAGATGTTTTTTTAAACCAACAAAAGCGAGATAAATTTTAATACGATAAGAATTGATAAGGTTAAAAGATAAGGTTTATTACTACAAGGAACATTGTGGGGGAAAAATTAGAAAATCGGAAAGTGTTCAAGCGTGTTGTTCCATATTGATCACGGTAAAGTATAGATAGACTTTTTGTTACATTTCAGAACTAGATTACGTAGGAAATTTTAGTATGACCATTATATTATAGCTATTTTGTATTATCGTAAATTGTCATGTTTCATTCGTACATGCGGATTTTTCGTCCGCGGATGATCGTTTTGAAAAAAATATTTCGGAATTTCTCGCGACCTTCTTCTATTAGTGTTTATTTGAAAAAAGATCATACCGAACCGTTTTCGTTGTTAAATAGAAAAATTGAACGTTTAAAAAAAAATTATAATTTGTGGTGGGTTATACTGTAAATGATTTGTGTAACTATAGACTACATATACTCCACATTACAAGTACATATTTGCATGGTTGTTTCTTGTAAATTGTGTTAACCTCAAATACATTTTATATAATTATTAATTAAGATATAGTAAATACATTCATTTAATTTCATATAAAAATTATAAAGCAGTCTATAGTATATCAATTGTTAAATTCATTAAGTTATAAATTTTAATTTTCACTAAATTCTAGTGTGAGGCAGTTTTCCACAAAAATGAGTGAAGACACTTCTTTATTTACTTTACCGAACAATCAACCGGTAACTGCTTTAGAATGTGAAACTGCATTTAACGCTCTGACAACAAAAGAGAAATTGTATGCACATTACTTAAGTCAAGCTGCATGGAATGGGGGACTTATTGTGTTCATACAAACTTCTCCTGAATCACCATTGATATTTGCACTTTTACATAAAATTTTTATATCTGAAAGTATTGATGAGTTGAAAAAATCTGCAATAGATGCTGGTGTCACCGAAGATGAATTTACAGTAAGTTGATAATATTAAGTTTCCATTTTATGTTTTTGAAAGTAATACATATTCTTTTAAAGTACATATTTATGTTTCTAGGCTTTTCTAGTATATAGTTGTGGAATATTTGCAAATTCCGGTAATTATAAGTCTTTTGGTGATAGTAAAATAATTCCCAAATTGCCTAAAGACAAATTTGGAACCATAGTAAAAGTTTCTAAAGCATATAAAGATAATTCTAAAACCATTGATGACATTTGGAATAAAATCGGAGATATTACCTACCTGATAAGAGGAAAATTGAAATCTTTAGGGCTAGGTGACAAAGGTGTAACTACTTATTTCTCTGAAAATTGTACAGATAAAGATGCTGAATTGGTCAATGAATTTATGCAAGAAAAAGGATTGGAATCGTATAATGCAAGATGTTTTAAAACAGTAACTTCAGACAACATGAATTTGTATGAAGTCAGATTAGCTTCTGCAAAAACTGATACAGATCCTAAGATTACATTATCAGAGGAAATTTTTAAAAATAATAAATTTAAGATTACAAGGGGGGATTATAGCAAACTGTTAAATGCAGTTATTGATAATCTAGAGAAAGCAACAGAATATGCTGCAAACGAAACTGAGAAAAATATGTTGAATAAGTACATAGATCACTTTAAAACAGGATCCTTACAGGATCATAAAGATGGTTCTCGATTCTGGATCAAAGATAAAGGACCAGTTATAGAAACTTACATTGGGTTTATTGAAACTTACAGAGATCCTGCTGGCCAAAGAGGAGAATTTGAAGGATTTGTAGCAATGGTAAATAAAGAAATGTCTGAGAAATTTGCTTCCTTAGTGATCAATGCAGAAAAGTTTATACCAAAACTTCCTTGGGGTACAGATTTTGAAAAGGATGAATTTCTAAGACCTGACTTTACATCCTTAGATGTTTTAACATTTTCTGGATCTGGAATTCCTGCTGGAATAAATATTCCAAACTATGATGAAATTAGACAATCAGAGGGATTTAAAAATGTATCTCTTGGAAATGTAATTCCTGCAAATATGAAGCTAGAAGTGATACCATTTTTATCTGAGGGTGATCAAACTCTGATGAATACCTACAGAATTACCAGTTTTGAAGTACAAGTGGGTTTACACGAACTGCTTGGTCACGGAACTGGTAAATTATTAAGACAATTAGGACCTGACTCATATAATTTTGATAAAGGAAATGTAAAAAATCCTTTAACTGGAGAAGTAATAAATAAATTTTTCTTACCGGGTGAAACATATGATTCGAAATTTGGTCCAATGGGATCATCTTACGAAGAATGTAGAGCAGAAGCTGTTGGATTATACCTATCCTTAGAGAAAGATGTTCTGAGTATATTTGGACATGAAGGGTCTAAAGCAGATGACGTAATATATGTGAATTGGTTATCACTTTTGTGGAATGGTTGTGCAAAAGCTTTAGAAATGTATCAACCATCTACTAAAAAGTGGCTGCAAGCTCATTCTCAAGCTAGATATGTTTTACTTAGAGTATGCATAGAAGCTGGTGATAATTTTGTTAATGTAATTGAATCTGAGCCGGGTAAAAATTTATTATTAACCGTAGATAGGTCTAAGATTCAGACTGTTGGAAAAAAAGCAATTGGAAATTTCTTAACGAAATTACAAATTTACAAAAGCACGGGCGATCTTGAAGCAGCTAAAGAAATGTATGAAAAATATAGTGAAGTACCTGACACAGGACTTCATCCATGGGCACGTTGGAGAGATATAGTTCTTGCCCATAAAGAACCCCGCAAAATATTTGTACAATCAAACACATTTGTAAACGGTATCTACTTAAATTATTACTCTTAATTATTATACAATTTTTCAATTATTCTAATTCAGGTGTTCATGATACAGGTTCTAATGGAGTAGAGTTGAAGAATTATGAACCTACTTTTGTTGGATTGATACAGTCTTGGATGGAAAGATTCCCCTCCCCAGAAACTTCACAAACTCTTATTGAACTTTGGGAGAAAGATAAAGAACATTTTACAATTGAAACTAATTAATTCAGTTATTAATAATATTACTTACTGTTACATTATCGTTTATACTACATGTGCTATAATAATATGTGTATATATGTATAAACAACATACATACACTTTACAAAGATTAGCTATAGTTTCTTTTTTCAATACTTTGGAGTAATTTTGTAAAAAAAATAAATTTTACATTTAATTATCTGTGCGTAATATTTATTTTTCAAATAAAAATTTCGTTCCTTATTATAATTTTCAATAGTTAATGTAACCGCTGTGATTTTGTGAAAAAATATTGTGCATTGCCAATTATTTTCTTAATAAAATTTTAATGATCTCTGATACATTACTGTTTTTACGTTAATTATAGTATCTATGGGACAGAGTGGTAAAATTGCGCATGTGCATTATTCGCCGGATTGGCGGGAAAATCCTGAAGAACGTAGTTTAGGAAGCAAAATGGTGTCTGAAGAGGTGTTAATTTCGTGTTTTTGTAATTTAGGTTGTGATGTTCCAGATAAACCCGTCGTTGATAAATGTAAGTTATTTATTAAATCAATTCCTCATAATATTAAGTTGTTAATATTGTTCCTTGTGTAAATGGATTTATCTGCAATTGTTGATTGACAGACTTTCTGACAAGTGAAGTTGAAATAAGCTTAAAATACTGATATACGTTTATTATATTTAATAATTAATGTAATCTTATGTACCATTACACATTTTTTTAATCTTGTAGTATACTTCCAATATACTCAAACACAGAAGTATTTTTTATAACCTTATCAAAAGAATATTTCCAACACTGTAGTGGATGTTCATGTCCTCTCAAAACACATGTATATAGTTATGATTTGCATGAAGTTTTTAATGTGTAAGTTTTACTTTTACTTAAGAACAAATATTTTTAATTAGGCCTTCAACTTTGTCATGATTATGACATCAATGAAGAAACGTTTGTTGAATTATGGGTAGCATATAGTGTTCCACGATCTTTGAATATTGACCCAACTCTTGATGATCTTAATAAAATGGAAAATGAAGAGTTAAAAAAAAGTAAAACAGAATTTACTGAATCGATTGAACATGCAGTTTCAACTATGGCAATTGATAATCAATGTGATGAGGAAATGATGTATCCTTTCATATATTATAGTTATAATTAATAACACTATATTTCTGATGATTGCTATTTATTTTCCTTACATGCGATGGTCATATATTATTATTATTATTATAGTAATGTATTAGATCTATACGGTGCTGGTCAATCTTCATCAAAGGTAAGTTCTTTTCGTTTATTGTTCCACCTCATGATTAAAACCTCCACCTCATGTAATGATTTTTTATTATTAATGTGAAGAATGTTTTTTAATGTACAATAGTCTGTTGTTCATTAAATACCAATTTAAGCGATGTTTATTATTTTTGTAATAAAAGTAATATAAAAATAATTGAACAATTTTAAGCAATAGTTGCATTTGAGTATATATTTAAAAATGATTTCGTTATATATAAATATTTGTTAAGTATGATTGACAATAAGTCCTTAGATTTTCGTTCTACGGCGACCTATTGTTAAACTTTGAACGGGCTACTTTGATGATTTCAAAAGCTGCCTGTTCCCCTTATTCTCTCTTTCAAGAGGGAAAGGTCTCCACCCCTGTAATGGCCTTCCGACATTGTTGCCAGATTTATGAAACTATTCGTTTCGTACAAGTAATATCCTATACTATTACGTAGAGTACAATTTTTCCATAGAAATATTAATACTTTATAAATAATTATTTTATTTATATTGTAGGATATAATCTTTATACACTCTCAATATGTTTACAGCGTACGTTCGATCGCTTTCCGAAATTTACGGCGTGTTTCGTAATATTACGATATAATCTGTATGAAGAATAAATTACATTCATTGTTTCTCATCATAAATGTTAACAAATCGATTGAATAATTCTTTGATTGAAAGGTAAAATGTATGAAATACTAAGGTGTAATTTACACAGACACGTGGTTATAAACGAAAATTCCTACAGGTTTCTTTCTTGTACACGTGTATCCAACAAATTCATTTGAAAGAAAAGTCATTTTTGATAACTTAGAGGTGTTGACGATAATTATAATGAATTATTAGTTGTTCGAGGAACAGTGTAAAACTGTACTGTTGTCGGGACAGGGATACATTCTGTATGAAACCTCAACCTTGGCATTGCAATGATTTACACGCTTTGGCAACACTGTCTCACATTCTTTATGGTCGATCTATGGTCTATAGTAGCAATGACGTAAGATTTCTACCTGTGAATCTAATTCTTCGTGAAACATCTAACTTTCCGTTTAACGAAAGAGAACGAAAAGAATGTTCCTCGGTACTATTTTTCCTTTATTATATAAATTATTGGATTACTCGATTACTTTAACGATTTTCAATGTTTCAGCAGTACAATCAAGTGTAGTATGTACACCAACATAAATGCTTCTGTACTGTAATTTCGTCAGCTTCGAGTTAACCATTTTATACATCCTTTTCTTGTAAATCTTGCTACAGTTTGCATCGTTTATGAATAGAAGCATTTTATTTTCTTAAAATCTTTTCAATCTGTGCAGATCATACTGTATAACAAAATACATCCAACTATAACAGAACATTTCTTTCAATAATTCTTAAATCGTGATTGTTATTTCACGATAACATTTCTTACATTATTTAAAGTTGTTCTTTTACATTTTACCTCGGTTTTATTGTTAAATTAAAAAAATACTTTGTATTTTTCAAGCAATACCAACTAAATCTACCGAAGATTATTCATTAGACCGTTTCGTCTAATATATACAGCTAATATTATTAACTAAACGTTTTCGTAAAAAATGTCTTCGCAATAAAGCACAGATTTTAATCAAGTTACGATCATAATACCATCAGTGGATAAGCATATCGTGGAAATATGGAAACTATTGCTTTGTATTTCGCCAAGCTTACTATCGATGTTAAGCGTTACGAGTACGAGTGAAATTTCCGACGCGATTCCCAGACAGGTGGTTTCTTATCCCGGAGTGAAGCGTCGTTGTAGGATCTTGTCGAGGCACCGTAATTCCCGCCACAAAAATCGTCCAGGTAGATCGCCGCCATTATCCCCTCTTCATTCTCTCTCAGTCTCCCACAAAGGACACGCTCCCATGGAGGGGGATAGTTGGATTCATTCTTATTGGTGGAAAAAAGACAGCGTTCCTTGTTGGAATCTCGTAGAGAGGGATTCTCCTTCCATCTAAGAGAGCTGACCAGATTTCTTCAAAGGGTACGATTTCAGTTTTCAAGGACCCAGACTCCATTATCATCCTGATGCGCGCGTGCGCTCTGGCTCAAGATATTTCCGAAGGAAACGTTGTTCCCTTCGCGTACATTCGTACCGTCTTCGAGTTATTTGAAAATTAATCGTGTACTCGTACGCGGAACGTTCATTCCATTTCACGGGAATCAGTTGATTCCTTGTATTTTCGGTAAAAGTCGTTACATGTGTTCGAATATCTCGATGGCGTCGAGTCGACGACGCCACAGACTGTCAGCGCGTCACGCGGATTCGGAGTGTATCCGTTGAGTGTTTCGCCGGTTCATTGTGGAGTTTGCTTTCGTTCGCGCAACTTGTAAATTGTGATCTTCTACTGTCTTCAACTCTAGGCAATAGTTAGTGCGCAACGGTATGTTATAACGGGTAGGGGGGAAGTGTACGAGGCAGTGCATTATATCTCGAAACGGTCGACCGGAGCGTCGGCCATCATGGAATTCGATTTGTGTGAATTTCATACTCGAAAGTCATTCCGCCAATCGTACAACGCCTCGCGTCACGGCGACCTGTTGCTATTGCTACTGGTTGTTACCGCTACACCGCTACTATCCGCGTTTCGATTCTATACGTTTCTTTTGAAATTTTTCAGTTCGATGTATCGCAGCGTAGCCGCACGTTTTATCTCGCGAATTCGTGTAAAATCAAGCCCCCAAGGAACGGAATGTATGTACCACGCTTCGGGTAAAGGTAGCTTTTTCCAAGTTTCTTCCTCTTTTTTTTTCTCCTTCTCATTTATGTATCGTACGGACGTCGTCGTTTCGAACGGCATCGTCGAATAGTAGAAATATACGTGTGTATACGCGTCAGAGGAATTTATGGATAACCCCGTGCACTATCTTTTTATACACATGTTTGCATGCGGATCCGTACAAATACGAGTGAGGGTAACACGGTGTGCGTGGAGGAGAGAGAGAAAGAAACTCAGTCGTAATGCTCTGTGTGGATGCACGCGCGCGCGAGCGCGTGAATGTCGTCGACCGTTCCGTTGAGTCCTGAGCGTCGCGTCGTTACAACCTGTTGCTTCAACCGTGTCGCATGCTGCTTGCGATGTAGCTGGTTTCTTCCCCGAGATTTCTCACGCTAACTCTCTTTCCTCGTTGAACCGAATAATTCGACGAAGGTAGTACACGATTCGTTCTCGAAATCGATAATTTTTTTTTCTTTTTTTTTTCTTTGGC